GTGCCAACGAGTGGCGTTTTGCCCAGGCAGTCACTATGCCCTGCGTGCACCAGGAAAAACAAAAACAGGTTGCCAGAGCCAGGAAAACTTGACATGTTTTAGCCCGAGGTCTCACTGTGGTTTCTTTGGGGAACATCAAATGATTTCCCTTGTCTGAGTGCATGAGTGTGCAATGGGGTTAAGTTGCTGGTTGTCTTAAGTTTTCCTACCACAGATCCCTTGAGAAAGCCTGCCTGGCCTTTTCATAGAAACATACCCTAACCACCCAAGGTGGGCAATGGAAGAGGAACCTCCACTTGGAAGGGGTGGTTGGAGACTTACAGCCCCAAGTCTTGTCCCAAATGTACCTTTCTCTTGTAAGTTGCACATGAGGCTCAGGGAAGGCTGTTTCTCTTCCAGCACTTCTTCCCAAGCATGAAGAGAAACTCGCCTTAATTCTCCACCAGTTCATCAGTCCCAGGATGCAGTGTTTGGTTCATTACCTGATCCCAGTGGCCTGTGGGGTGCCCAGTGCAGTTAGGCATCACTTCTGGCCTTGACTGTGGAACACAGAGGAAGGTAGTTTACACAGGTGACCTGTCCTTTGCCAGGGGTTACGTGGATTTCCAAAGGCTTCAAATGCAAACTCACAAGCACCCATGGTCAAGAGCACAGTCTTGGAAGCTTGGCAGAAGTGGGTGGATATCATAATTCTTTCACCTCCTACTTGAGTGACATTCAGTAGATTACTTAAATTCTATGGAACTGGGTTTCATCATCTGTAAAACAAACAAAAATGGAACCTGTTTCATAGAGTTACTGTGATAATTTAAAGACATAGGATATGTATGTAAGGTATTGAGTTCCACCTCTGACACAGGGGTGGCGGGGGGGGATTAAAATGGAGATAAAGGAAGGGCAGTGAGACAACCCAACCTATTCTAAGGGTCTACTGCACCCCAGACCCCAGGTAATGGGCAGAGGGACTTGGAAGGAACATCGGAACACTGCTGGTCAACCTCTCAACTTTCTCAGCTCTAAAATGTGCCTTAAAAACATCCCAGCTTATCTATCCCATGGGCTTGTTACATGGACCCCAAGTCGCTCCCCAGACAAACTAGAGAGGTCTCCCAAAAATTACCTGTAGGTAGGGCTGAGGGCAGCTTTCCAGACTCTCTCTTACCCGCTCCACCCTGGACCCTCTTGAGAGCTCTGGCCTGGCACCCCTGCTTCCTTATCTGGATGGCAGCCCATCCGGACCAGAGCTAACTCTAGATTTCTCTGTCTTCCTGGGCTCTGCCTCTGATGCCAGCAGGGACTCCACACCCTGGGACCTGCCTGGCCTCACCGCCCAACAGGTCTGAACCCTAGGCCAGAGCCAGGTATCACAGTTCCCACTGGATCTGTAGGGGAAACCATGACATTTTCACCAAATGAGTCCCAGAAATTGTTATTCCAGAAATTGATTGCTATTGTTCCTTTAGCCCTGGGGAAGAGGGATCTTTTCCATTTCCAGGCCTCTTTCCCCACCCCCTCCCCACCCCCCCACCCCACCTCCCACCTCTGCCCCTCACCATTTTAGATGTTCAAAAACTGTGTTTTAAAGAAAACGAGCCGAAACCGGTTTGGCTCGGTGGATAGAGCGTCGGCCTGCGGACTGAAAGGTCCCAGGTTTGATTCCGGTCAAGGGCATGTACGTTGGTTGCGGGCACATCCCTAGTGGGGGATGTGCAGGAGGCAGCTGATCGATGTTTCTCTCTCATCGATGTTTCTAACTCTCTATCTCTCTCCCTTCCTCTCTGTGGAAAATCAATAAAATATATTTTAAAAAAAATAAAAATAAAGAAAACGAAGTTCCCTTTCTAGACTGCTCAGGTCAGCAAACAGTGTTTGGTGGAAAACTGGACAGGAAGGAGCTGAGATCACATCGGATAGGCACGGGGAAGCTGAGACAGGAAATCCATCAGTTCTGGGGACAGATGTTGAAGCCCGAGTCTCCCACAGATAGTAGCCAGAGGTTTACACGCAGGAACCTCGTGGCAGAAACCCCTCCATGTCTGCAGAACTCTGTGAGCACCAGGGCCGACCCCACAGCTGGGGGAGGAGAGGGAAGGCGAGTCGGTGGCATCCGCCCAGCGGGATAGCCCCTGGTGTGTCAGCAGATAGAGATCATCTGTGACAACAGCCGCCCACGCCCAGGCCCACCCCAGGCCCAGGGGGCTAGCAGCAGGTGGCTTTAGCTGACTTGTTTGGCTTTCTGCCCTGTGGCCAGTGGAACCTGACAGGTCAGTTTCCAGATCTGGGCTGATTTTCTTTCACTTCCTGGTTCTCACACCTTCAACTTGAGAAGCTGTGGTTCCCCTCCCCCTCACTCTGCAAGAGGATGTGTTTTGTCCACAATGCCCAGGGAAAGGTCTGGTCTCTTAATCAGCCATTCTGAACCCTAGGAAGTTGTTTAAGGGATCAAACAGCTGAAGTTAGACCCCTGAAGATTAAAATCAGTGACTGGCCTCTATCTGCGACGGTTCTTCCCATGTGGGACAGACCTGAGCACAGAAACCCGCCAGGACGCCCCGCGCCCCACCAGCCAGGTCTCGGCAGGAAGGAGCAGCTTTGCCTCCTAAGTCTGTTTTTTTATAAGTACCACGCGCTAACCGATTGCGCCACTGGAGCTCCTAGTCTGTTTTTTTAAATTGATCTTTAGAGAGAGAGAGAGAGAGAGAGAGAGAGAGAGAGAGAGAGAGACATCAATGAGAGAGAAATATCATCAATCTGCTGCCTCTTGCATGCTCTACTGAGGATTGAACCTGGGCATGTGCTCTGACCAGGAATCAAACCGTGACCTCCTGGTTCACAGGTCAGTTCTCAGCCGCTGAGCCATGCTGGCCAGGCTCCTAAGTTTGTTTTTATTTGCTTCGGAGAAGGTGCCTTTTTTTTTTTTTTTGCAATCCCTTTCACGCTTTACTGAATATTTGAGTGATCGAATGGAGATGGAGGTAGCTCAGCAGGGCTGGGATTATGGCAAGGCCAGTGAGGCTACCAGGGAACCAAATTGCAAGAGGCACTCGCTCTCGGGCTCATACAAGTTCTCACCCTGGTCGGACCCTGATTGCTGGTGAGGGGAAGCTTCAGGGGGAGGTGGTTTACTCAGAAATGGCTGACTGTGGAATAGTGAGGGGCCCCACCACAGGCACCTGCCAGCCTTGCTTCCTCTTGCCTGGGACGTCCAGGCCTCTCATGTCCACAGGTGTGCCCTGTATGGGGGCTGGGCACTCCCTATTAGAAGGCCCCTGCTCCTGGGAACTGAAGAGTGAAACATGTATGAAAGAGAACTTGAATCAAGTCAGAGGTAGTTGTCACTGCAGGGGTGCAGGGCTGAAAAACATTATAATAATATTAAATACCGCTTTGGGTACTTACCATGTACCACGCCCTATGTTAAATACATTATGGCCATTATTTTATATAATCCTCTCAACTCAATAAAGAACTTGGGCTCTAGAGCCAGACAGCATGAATTTAAAGCTCGGCCTTGCCGAACCGGTTTGGCTCAGCTGATAGAGCGTCGGCCTGCGGACTCAAGGGTCCCAGGTTCGATTCCAGTCAAGGGCATGTACCTTGATTGTGGGCACATCCCCAGTGGGGGGTGTGCAGGAGACAGCTGATCGATTTCTCTCATTGATGTTTCTAACTCTCTGTCCCTCTCCCCTCTTCTCTGTAAAAAATCAATAAAATATATTTAAAAAAAAATAAAAAATAAAGCTCAGCCTTGCCTCTTTCATGATGTGTGACCTTGGGAAATTACTTAACCTCTCTGGGCTTCAGCTTTCTCATCTGAAAAATGGGAATAATAATAGAGCTGACATCATGGTATTCCAAGGATCATATCCGGCAATACAAGGAAAGCAATGAGACAAGCATCTGGCACAAGATAAGCACTGGACAAGTATTAGCCGTGGTTAGTATTGTGATTGCCTCTTGTAGCTTATTCCTGGGGTTGCCACAACAAAGGTCTCACAGACTGGTGACTTAAACAATAGAAACGTATTGTCTCACAGTTCCAGAAGCTAGGAGTCCAAGATCAAGGTGTTGGTAGGGCTGGTTCCTTCCATGAGCTGTGAGGGAGAATCTGTTCCCTGCGTCTCTCCTCGCTTCTGGGGTTTGCTGGCTTATAGATGATCATCTTCTCCAATGTCTCTTCACTTCGTCTTTCCTCTGTGTGTCTATCTCAGTGTCCAAACTGCCCCTTTGTTTGAGTCTGTTTGGGCTGCTAAACAAAAATACCATGGATTGGGTGGCTCAAACAACAACCCCTTATCTCTCACCGTTCTGGAGGCTGAGAAGTCTGAGATCAAGGCACGGGCAGATTCGGTGTCTGGTGAGGACCTGCTTCCTGGATCTTAGCTGACTGTTTTCTCACTGTGTCCTCACAAGGCAGAAGGGGTAGAGGAGCTCCCTGGGGTCGCTTGTATAAGAGTACTAATCCCAATCATGAAAACCCTGTCCTCACAACGTAGTCTCCTTCCAGAGGTCCCTCCAAATTGGGAATTAGTTTTCAACATATGGATTAGGGGAGGGAGGGTGGAGAAACACACACATTCAACCTATAGCACCCTTTTTATAAGGACATCAGTAATAGTGGCTTAGAACCCACTCTAATGACCTCTTTTAACTTGATTACTTTGGTGAAGACCCTATTTCCAAATTAGGTCACATTCTGAGATACTGGGGATTCACAATCCAACACATCTTTTGTAGGGATGGGGTGGGGGAGGGGGAGAGACACAATTCAACCTATGGTACAAGACTAAGGAATTTGCTCAATGTCACACATCTCATTGGTGATGAAACTGGGTCCTAGACCCCAGGATTATTTGATGACACATTTCATGGCATGAACCCCATGTGAAGCCCCAACATTCTTGAACCTTCTCTGGATGGGGAGAAAGAACCAAAGACAGACATTCAGAGCCTACTGCTACTGTGTTGATGGCATTTCCCCTTCTTTCTCCCTTCTCCAGCCTGCCTGCTCCAGGCTGAGCTGGTAAACTATGAACGAGTCAAGGAGTATTGCCTCAAAGTCTTGAAGAAGGAAGGGGAGAACTTCAAGGCCCTTTACCGGTCTGGTGTGGCCTTCTACCACCTTGGGGACTATGACAAAGCACTCTACTACCTGAAAGAAGCAAGGACCCGACAGCCAACAGGTAAGGCAGAAATTGATGTGTTTTCTCATCGTCAGCCACCTCTGGCAGCTCCAGGGGCCCTCTCATTGGGATGGGCAGCTCTCATGATGTGGGGCCAGGCAGGTGCAGAAATGGCAAATTAGGGGTCAGGTGGCCTCTAGAACCTAGAATGAGGAGAACATACAGTCCTTGCATTTGCCCAGGGAACTTGGGCACCTCCTCTCTTCAAATTGAATATAGAATTCTTTGTCTTTTCTAATCCAGAATCCAGCTTTCTTCACTTATTCAATAAATACATATTGAATTCTTATGATGTGCCCAGATTTCTGCTGGGCACCAGGAATGTGGATGAGAAAAGGTGGCTCATATATTTGAGGAGCTCACACTCTGGTTGGCAAGACAGAACACAAAGGAATGATTTGGGTGCTGAGCCCAGTATCTTCCAGGAAGTGTGCTCTGCCTTCTCCAGTCAGATCCCATTCCTGAGAGGATGCGTTATCTGTACCATTCTTGCAAATTCACATCCACAAGCTCAGCCGTTCTTTCATCCCACAGATACTGATTAAGCAGTTGCAATGGCCCAGGAACTGTTCTTGGTGCTGAGTAGATGTCAGGGAACGAAAGAAAGCTGTTACATTGGAAGAGTTTATGATATAATGGAGGGAGATGGACAGTAAGCACCTGGACAAATAGATAATGCAATATTTAGTAGTATTAAGTGCTATGAAGAAAATAAAGCAGAAAAAAAGGATCAAGAGTAAATGGGGTGCTATTGTAGACCTGGTGGCAAGAAAGAACCTCTCTGAAGAGATAACATTTCAATAATGACTTTGACTTGATGTTGCCATTGCTCATGGGGCTGACTTTTTTAAATGCATTTCTCTTTCCAAGAAGTCTTTAAGAACTTTAGGATCAATTTGCAAATCTCCAAATGTATACAGTTTTCTTTATTTTTGTAAGAGCACCAATATCTTTATGTTTTGATTAGTTTTCTGAAATCAGTCATGTTCCCCCAACTGTACTGTAACCCACTTGAGGACAAAGAACTGGACTCGATCAACAGAATTTTCTTGAATACCTACTGTATGCCAGCACTGTTCTGGCTGCCATGTGTGCCATGTGTGGCATATTTTAGAATGCTACAGCCTTCGTTTCTACTTCTGGAAGCGAACACCTCAAGCAGCCCTGTAACTCTTATATGCTGGTATGTGCAGAGCTAAACAGCTGTTCCACATCATACCCCACTCACCAATTTAAAAGCTGGGATTGGGGGATAATTTCCCAGGTTGAGGTGTGGTGGCCTGACTCTACTTATAAGGACAAAAATAAGACAATGAAGCAAAGTCATTTTAAACTCTTCAATTTAAAAAATTACATTCAAGTAATATTTCTTCGTCATTAGATTAGCACTGTTAGGCTAACCTATTTTGGCCCTCATAGAAATGTCATGAGGAAGGTATGACCCCCAGGAGAGGCAGGCTTTGGAGTCGGATGCACCACATACTGTTTGTCTGCTTGGGCATCACACTTAACCTCTCTGGGGCCCAGTTTTCCCTTTTGTCACGGGGAGGGTGATGCTACATACCTTGCAGGGTTTCAAGGAGGGTTAAATGAGATAACATGGCACAAAGTAGGCATTCATAAACGGAAGTTGTTTCTTGCAGACAAGACAGGAGGCTCTGAGAAGTTGGTAACGTGCCTGGACTTAAACTCTAAACAGAGCCTCCGCTCACTGTGCTGACTCAGGAGCACGGGGATATGCTGTTTCATAGAAATAAAGGGGGACATCCCTCCTCCTCTCCTCTCCTTCCCGTCTGTCCCTGGGTCAGGGTGACCTGTCCACATTTGCTAGGGGGAGGCCATGGAGGAGAATGCCAACGTCCTGGCTGCCCTCTCAGGACCTTGATGACAGCTGACATCATGGACCTTCGTTGACTGAGGATGGCCTGTCCAGGATCTATAGCTGTAGGCCCAACACTTCCCCTCACCACGTGTCCTCTAAGGTGTGTTTCTCTCCTCACAGACACCAACGTGATTCGGTATATCCAGCTGACGGAGATGAAGCTCAGCAGATGCTCCCAGAGAGAGAAGGAAGCCATTTAACTACAACACCTCTCTAGACTTGCACTTGCGCCTGACCCTGGACTCGTAGGCATCCCCTGGCAGAGAGCCCCTCCCTGGGTTCTGGTCCTTTCTCCCAACTCCTTCCACCAGCACCCCCCCCGCCCCCCCCCCCACCACCACCACCCTCGCCCTTCCCATCTCTTCTTCCTGTTGCCCCTCAACTATTGTCTACTCCCAGTGTGAAAAGAAGGAGATGCAAATTTGGAATCTGGTGGGTTGCCCTGACAATGGAGATATCTTCTTCTCTAGCAGGTCAGCCACTGAGAGGGACCTGACCTCTGTGGGGACAGCCGGGGAGGACTCTCACAGACCAGGAATGCCTGGGTTTCTGACAGAGGCAGATCCTGGCGGTTTACCATCCCAAAAGCAGCAGGCATGAAACCCATGGCTGGACCCTGCACACCTTTCTGACAGACCAGAGCATCTCAAGGCAATTGTGACAGATCCAGGGTTGAGACAAACACCAGGAGCACTGGTTAAGGCAGGAGAGAGACCGTGAACTTGTACACTGGATTTCCCCACCTCTACCCCCAGTAGCCTCCGCCCCTGCCTCTCTTCCTTGTCTTGGCTTGTGCTTTCTTCTCTTGCCCTTGGGGATCTGAGACTGTGCCAGGATTCACATGCCATTGACACCCACTCTCAGTGCCCTCTGGTGACCACACATACCATCCTCCCATCCCCCCAGCAGACAGCTGTGACAGCAGAAGGGCAGGGTCAAGTGGGCCAAGGGTTGACCACTAAGGGGATGTGGGGAGGGAGAGGTGACGTCCAGGGGAGAGAGCATTGTATAGACTGGGCGACTCATTAAGTGTAAATAAAAATAAATTAACAGGCAGAAACTCCTGTCATTTCTGTTGGAAGCAGCCCACTGCCCCACTGTTACTCCCTCCCCAGCGAACTCACTCAGAGCTACTTCCAGCCAGGCAGGATGGGGCTTCCCCAATGGCCATTTGTTCCCTGGTCTACAGCGTTGGCTGCCTCCTCTGTGTGTTAGAGTAGGCTGGGTTGGGAATTCTGCCCAGGGGGTTGGCTTTGTGGGACTTTGTGGGACTTGTACAGCCTCTTTGATGACATTAGGTGGACTCAATATCTAGCACAGAGAATGTGTTCAACAAATACTTGTTGAATGAATAAATTATGACTGCAGACTGGCTCTCCTGCCTTAAACTAATTTTATCCCAGCCTAGTCTCCTGATATCTATGCTCTTCATTGCCATGTTGCTTCAGTCAAATAAGAAACATTTCCTGAGGGCTTCTTGTTTGCCTACCATTGTGCAATATGCTGTGGGACATAGGACGTGGTCCTATGGAAGAGTTCAGAAATGCTCGTGTGAGATTATTACCAATGACACCTTTCATTTATACGATGCTTTAAATTTTTCAAAGCACTTTCATGTATCTTCCGTGTGATTAGTGAAAGAAACAGTATTGTACAAATTAAAATATATACAGATGCAATAATGTTCATAGTTAGCATTTATTAAATGCACTATCCTCAGCTCTTTACATGTATAAGCTCATTTCTTTCATGCAATTACCCTATGAGGTGGCATTTCTATTTGAAGGATAAGAAAACTGAAAACCAGAAAAACTAACTATCCCAGCCCAGCAAGTGGTTGAGCATCAGCCTATGAACCAAGAGGTTACAATTCGATTCCTAGTTAGAGCACATGCCTGGGTTGCGGGCTCGATCCCCAGTGTGGGGTATTCAGGCGGGCAGCCAATCAATGATTCTCTCTCATTGATGTTTTTCTCTCTTTCTCTCTCTCTCCTTCTCCCTTCCTGTCTGAAATCAATGGGAAAAAAAAAAAAACTTATAAAAGAAAAATGAACTGTTGCAAGGTGGCATGGCCTTAAGTGGAATAGCTAGGATTCGAGCCAGGTGTGTCTGACCCCAGAGCTCTAGCTAAAACTACTCTACAATTAGTTTCTGCTCTACGAAGTATATTGAGCAGTTACAACCGCTCAAGAGCAGGACCGTGTGTGTTACATTACAAAGTTTTGACTGTAGTACCTGAGCTGCCTCTTGTGTTTAAAATGCCCAAAGGGAAAAAAAAAGGTCCCTAACACTAGACTCGCTAGTCGCCAGGGTGGTAACAGGCCAGGAAAAGAGAGCCGAGCCCCACAGGTATTTCTGCGTATTGCTCATCCTACTTGCTGATGGGCCGGCATGTGTCCAGACAACCCACCTAGCTTTCCTCACCTCATCCCAGCTTTGGGGGAGAGTCACAATTACAGGCAGAGGATGAAAGGGAATACCAAGTTGATGATGGGTTATTTGTTTAATCCGGGGCTCCACCACTGCAGGATCTCATGGCTGCTGAGGGGCCCAGGAGCCAGCAGCCCAGGGGTACTCACGTGGCTTCTCAAAGGCTTCTAACCGGGACCGGAAGAAAGTTCCAGGAATATCCAAGGGCCCACAGTTGCTTGCCTGTAGCTCAGCCTCTGGAGAAGGGGAAAAGGAAAAGGCTGTATCAGCTGCCCCATTCTACCCCACCCCTAACCACAGCCCTCTCTCTGCCCTCTTCCTCCAAAATGGTTTCACGTGACCCCAATTCAAAACCAGCCTGCAGTGTACATAGCACAGGCAACTGTGCAAAACCCCTGCCCCCAAGCCTCCAGCCCAGAAAAGCTCGTGAGTTGGCGAACTGCTTGTTAGAATCCGAAGGATAAGATGAGGTCAGAGGTGGCCTGTAGAACGAGTTCAAACTGGCAGGGTCTTCCTTTGGTCTTGCATTCAGGAAGGACTCAGTACCTATTCCCAACATGGGTCACAAGAGAGGTCAAAAAGTGAGTTGCGGCGAGACCGGATGGATGGGGCTAAGGTTGTTATCATCCTTCCAAAGAAAAAGGTTGGAAACCAGAACTGAATGAGCACAACCTCATGGGACATCCTAGTACAAGTGTACAGGCTGTCTGCTTGTCTGGTGACTTAGATACACATGCTTATTGGAACTCCATTCACTGTGACCCAACGTTAAATGATCCCAAAGGAAAAAGCTGCCCGGGGTATTAGCTGATGTCCGGGCTGAGTGGTGAATCTTCTGTTCACTTGTCCAACAGAGACGTCAGGGAGCTGCTAAGCAAAATCAGGAGTGTTCACCTTCCCGCCCGCTTCCTTCTCCCTGCCCCTCGCGCACACGGGGCTTGCCATGTAACTGCACGCTGTTTGCAGATGTCACTGCTGAACTCTACCTGGAGCACGAAACCTGGATCTGACTGCTTTGTCATCTCCTGCTTGGACTTTTGGGATAGACTCTTTAGGAAGAAAAATTATACCTTTCTTGTAATGATTATAAATGCCTCACATGTGTATTGTGAATTTTAAGGGGGGACAAACTCCAACCCACAATCCTACTACCCAAGACAAGCATTATCATCCTTTGGGATATATCTTTTGGTTCTCTTTGAGATAAATGCACACATGCACATACACAGTTTGTTGTGGGGTGTTTTTTTTCTAAACAAAAACTAGAGCACATTGTATATATATATATATTTACTCTTTAATAACTTACTTTTCAAAATGTGCATATTTTAGAATATGAAATACCTACACAGACACAAAATTCAAAAATTACAAAAATCTCTATAGTAAGAAGTAAATCTCCTTCCCACCTCTCCGCCAGCATCTAGTCTCACTCCTATATCCTGTAGATCCTTCCGGAGGCATTTAAGCATTTTCAAACATATGTCCATGGTAGCATATGGACGCACGTTTTTGCACCGTGTGCTACTTCACTTATTATGTCAGGAGCATAACATCTTTACACCTTTTTTGCGTGTCTCTCGAACTTTTCAACATCATTCCCATTCTACAGATGGGCCCTTATTTGATAACCAATCTCCTAATAGTGGTTATTTCATTTGTCCCCAGTCTTCGTTGTAAATAACGTTGCAACAGACATTCTTGTAGCTAAACTGCGCACAAGGAAAAGATTGCTTGGCTATCTTTAAGAATTTTGATAGAAGCTGCCAACTGTCCTCCAGAGTTTGTACCAAAGCGCTCTCTTATCTGCCGCTTGAGAATGCCCTGTTCCCTGCACCCTCACTCGTGTTGGGTATTAGGCCTTATCACATCTTCACCAATTTGATAGAAAAATAATAGGATGTCAATATTGTTTAAACTTGCGTTTCTTTGGTTATTATTGATGAACATCTTCATATGCTTATTGATCAGTTGTACTTCTTTCTTTGTGAAATTTCTATTCATTTGATATTGGTATGTTTACCTTTCATATCAACATGTAATTTTATTACAAATATTATTTTTGTCAAGAAACACTGCAAATGGGCTTTCCAAGTGCTTTGCTTTCTAATTTTGCTTATGGTGCTTTTTGACATACATAAATTCTTAATTCTGCAATCAACTTGTTCCTCTGTTGCCAGCTTCTGCCTGTGGCTCACTCTCCCATTTCTGCCAGGTGGCCCTTCTAAAGCACACGGATGGTGTCGCTCTGTAGCTTGAACATCTGTAGTGGCTCCTCATTCACTTTAAAAGCCAAACTCCTTAGCATAACACATAAGGGCTGTCATGTGATTTCCCCCACTGGCTCTTCTGGGCTCACCTGCTGGTCTTCTCCTCAGGGGCCCTACATTCCATTGCCACACAGCTGCTTGGCATTCCCTGGACCCATGTTCGGGGTCTCTGGGCCTCTCCATGCTGTTCCCTCTGCCTAGCTGCCCATGCCTTACCCCTCCTGCTCCCTCTTTGCCTTGCTAACTCCGTTCGGACCCTAAGCATCACTCCTTGAAAGCAGTCCCTGACCCCTTAGTCTGCGCTCCTAAAGCAACGCGAGCCTACCTCTGGCCAGCATTTGCTACAGCGACTTGGAATTTCCTGTTTATGTGTGTCTCCCCCGCTACCTGGATATCAAGGCAGGCGCTGTGGTTTGTTCATTTTTGCAGCCAGAACGTCTAGCACGACGCCTTCACATAGCAAGCGCTCACTAAATGTTGAGCATGGAGCTTGGCACCGATGAATAATGGATTCAGTGGCAGATGTTACTTGAGGTAAATGCAGGGCCGGGCTGGGTCTGTGCTTCTGAGAAGTGAGGAAGTCCTAGGAGACTTGGGTTATAAGAGAAGCCAGGTGCTCCACTGCTGTGCTTTCCGAAACATCAGAATCACTTGAAGTAGCTTTTAAAAAATGCATCATCTCAGGCTCTGCCTTAGATCCACTGAATCAGACTCATGGGGATAATGCTCAGCATACGATTGTGTGTGTGTGTGTGTGTGTGTGTGTGTGTGTGAGAGAGAGAGAGAGAGAGAGAGAGAGAGAGAGAGAGAGAGAGAGAGAGAGTCCTAAAGTGTTTCTGATGACCAGCCAGGTTAAAAAGCTGCTGCTGAAGTAGTCCAGCAGATAAATCAAAGCCCCTGGCTCCACTATCTCAAATCACGTGACCTTTGCAGTGGATAGATGGAGCTTTATTCGAACACCAGCTTTGACATCTGCTGGCCGTGTGACCTCAGGGCAGTTGCATGACTTTTCAGGCCCTCATTAGCCTCACTTAAACATGAGGACAATATTATGCGCCCTTACAAGGGCGTTGGGAGGGTTAAGAACTACCTGTCTCCCAGCTCCGTGCCTAGCACAGACTAAGCATGAAACAGAACATTCATTTCCTCCCCCCCCTCCCCCCAGCCTCAGTTTCTTCATCTATAGTTTGGCCGCTAATGCCTGTATGTTTGCCTTCCGCATTCCCACACCCAACTCCAGAAGGTACAGGACCAGGACTTGGGCGATGCAGGGGGCAGAGGAAGCCCCTTCTCCCACCGCATGCTCTCTCCCAGCATAGCAGAGAATGTATAGCAACCACCTGGAATGATTCTGATGCTTTTCAGACCCAGTTGTCTTTTAGTCGCATCCAAAGATCGACACAGTTTTCTTCCTGTGGCTCCGCCCAAAGGCCAGTGGCTTTTCACCTCCAAAGTGAAGGCGATTGTCAGAAGAGAGTAGTCATTGCCTGCTCCCCTTCCCACACCCTGGGATCCTCATCCCATGCCTCAGGGCTGGAAAGACAAGACTGAATGTGAGGTCAAAATAGCTCATCTACAGCCACCTCGATCAAGATGCCCCTGGTTCCCATTCCCAATGCCTACACACTCTCGCCAGCCCGGGGCCGGCAGCCGAGGCAGGGAAAATGCCTTCAGTCCCTCAGGCCTGACAGAGTTCAAATTACCGAGTCAGCATGAAAAGTCCCACTCTAAATGGACTGAAATTGGATTCTATTAAAAACCGCACTCACTGAGGCCCTTGGCTATTAATATTTGCTCCAACATGGAGGAGCGGGAGGAGGCAGAGGCTCCTGCGAAAGGTTGGAGATTGCAGCTGTTCCGTGGAATTGCTTTTCTGGAAGCGAGCCTACATTTGAAAGCTAGATGTGCCCTGTTTTCAACCGTTCACAGAATATTAGGGCTGGAAGGAGTCCTGAAGCTCCCTCGTCTTATAGATGAGGGATCAAGTCCAGAGAAGGCAAGTGACTGATTCAAGGTCACACGGCTCGTCAGTAACAAAACCAGAACTGGAATGCATCTCAGTTTTCTGACAACGAACTTAATACTCTTTCCACTGAACCTCCAGCAGATACACTTACAAAGCATCTCTCTCTCTCTCTCTTTTTTAAATGTAATGCTGTAAAATTATTCTCTTCTAAAGAAATGTAACCTAAAAATAAAAGGCCAAAGTAAGAGGCAAAAAAGTATTTATTTGAGATAAAAAAAAGAAAATAGCTACTCAAAAAGCACTGATTCAGGAAGAAACCCTAACTCAGATTTGGGCGGAAACCCAAATCCAAACTCCTCAGCTTAGGAGACAAAAGCAAGAGGTATTTATGAAAAAGGGGACAATTCTATCGCTTGAAGGAAGGCATTTCTACTGGTGCAGATAAGCTAACAGAATGATGCTAATTCAAAACAATGTTTTAATTTTCAGTCCAGTAGTCATCAGCCCAGTAGTCATATCTGCTTCTTGTTATCCTTGCAAGCAGTTCTTTGGGACACAATGTTGTCTTAGGCCCAGTGCAAAGGTTCCTTTGCTGCTTTAACAT